CCAAAACCACAAATTGAATGGTCTATTTTAGTAGGTAATGAACAACTCAAACCTGGAAGCATTCTCAGAAAGGAAAAAAATACTGATTAAAAAAAGGATTCATTAGATAACTTCTAAAGTCACTTTGAATAAAAAGCTGGGATCTAAGACTTATCTATCTACTTATTTATACTACAAAATATATCAACGTGAGTGAGAGTATTGTGAAAGGGTAAAAATGGGAGATATTAATACTCAGAAACTCCTCCAAGACTATGAAACAGTGCTGTGGATATAGTTCAGTTGGTAGAGTGTTTGCCTCAAATGCACAAGGACCTGGGTTTAATCCCTAGTGCCACCAAAAAAAAAGACTATGAAACAACCACCAAAAAAAAAAATGAATGTTACAGAGTTCAAACGCCCTACATTAAAATCTGAAGGACAAAGTAACCCTCCCACCCACCCAGACTACTTTAAAACCACAGATCTCTATACATTTTTTAAAGGCATAAAAATATTATTCTAAGAATAGTAATTAGGATATTCAGGTTTTAATCACAAAACTGCTCTACAAGGAGAATATTAAAAGAACAATTTTAAACTTACCCCCAGTGCATTTTTATCCATGATTTTTATAGCTACCATCTCTCCAGTGAGGATATGGCAGGCAAGCTTGACCTTTGCAAAGCCACCTATGCACAAGAAAATTTATGACAAAGAGATAAACAAGGACTCAAGCAGAAACACCTGTTCACTTTTTTTTTTTTTTTTTTTTTGTACCAAGGATTAAATTCAGGGGCACTCCACCACTGAGCCATATCCCTAGCCCTATTTTGTATTTCATGTAGAGATAGGGTCTCACTAAGTTGCTTAGTGCCTCGATTTTGCTGAGGCTGACTTTGAACTAGTGATCCTCCTGCCTCAGCCTCCCAAGCCACTGGGATTACAGGCATGCGCCATTGCATCCAGCTACAACTGTTTTATAATTAACATTGCTAGAACATAATAGAAAGTTGCTGAGACCAAAGACAAATTATATAAAACTTCCACTCAGTTTTAAAATTCGGAGGATAAGCAATTATGCTTTAAAACTGGGTCAAAAGCAGAATAAATGTTTCTCCTTAGATTTCTCAATCTTCAAATTAACACTTCCAAAAAGAAGCTTCTGGTAGCCTGTTCCAAATTCTTTACCATTTCAGTAAGAAGCAACTTCATTTTCCCAGGTGCTCTCAGGCCCAAAACCCTGGAACCATCCTTATTTCCTCTCTTTTATAATACCCCATAGCCAAAACATCAACAAATCCCACTGGTTTACTGTGGAGGAAAAATATTAATGTTTACATGGGGGAAAAGCAGGTACTGACTAGAAATGGTCTCTCTTACCTGAGTGAATATAAATAGATATATATATTTGATCAACCTATCAAGATCAGTGCACTTCGCATGTTTTACCATGTTATACCTCAATAACTACCTCATCACTGTCACTATCATCCTCACCTAAATCACCATCATTGCCAGAGTCACTTACCTGAATTATTACAATAGCTTCCTAACCTCTCTCTACCTTTGCCCTTTCCCTCTTCCCCACAATCTTTTCACCATAAAACACAGTGACCCACTGAAAACAAAGGTCACACCACTCCTTGGCTCAAAACTCTCCAATGACTTAATTTTTTTTTTCTTTCTTTCCCTTTTTTTTTTGGCCAATGACTTACTTAGGATACAAGTCAAAGTCCTTGCAATATAAAGCCCTTCTACTACTTTCCTCTACCCTTGCTCCACTTTTTCTTAGGTAGAAAATTTTAATACAGCATAAGTTAGACTAAAAAGCCTCAAAAGACTATACTCTCAAATAGTTGATCTATCCTCTGCCTCCAAGAAAAAAAAAATAGCAATTACCTGTTCCAATAGTTTCATATAATTCATAGTATTTGAGAAGTTCATCATAATCTTTCATAGTCCACCTGGAAGTGTTTTCAAAATGACAAAAAGAACCTGTAAGACAGAAATACCACATGACCAATAAAGGAAATAGAGCCAATTTATCTCTTCCATTTGAATTTGAAATATGAATGACTTAGGTATAAAATTAATACTGAAAAAAACAATTAGCCATAGGGGGAAAACTATCCTGAATTCCAATCTGACACCACACATACAAATCAATTCCAAATGAAGACTTAAACATAAGCCAGGCACATTGGCCCACACCTGTAATCCCAGTGACTCAGAAGGCTGAAGCAGGAGGACTGTGAATTCAAAAGCCAGCATTAGAAAAAAAAGAAAAAAGTACAGCATGTACAATTATGTACAGTATATAATATTTAATATTATAATAAATGACCACTACTGGTTTATGTTTAAAAAAAAAAAAAAGACTCAGCAACTTGGTTAGCAAGACCCTGTCTCTAAATAAAATATAAAAAAAGGGTTGGGGATGTGACTTAGTGGATTCTATCCCTGGTACCCAAAAAAAAAAAAAAAAAAGATTTAAATATGAACCCAGCACAGTGGCACATGCCTGTAATCCCATGACTCAGAAGGCTGAGGCAGAAGGATCACAAGTTCAATCAACCCTCAGCAATTTGGTGAGGCACTAAGCAACTTAGCCAGACCCTGTCTCAAAACAAAAAATAAAAAAGGGCTATGGTTGGGGCTGGGGTTGTGGTTCAGCAGTAGAGTGCTGGCCTAGCACATGCGAGGCCCTAGGTTCAATCCTCAGCATCATATAAAAATAAATAAATTAAATAAAGGTATTGTATCCAACTAAAACTAAAAAATAAATATTAAAAAAAAAAAGTGGGGGGTTGGCTAGGGATGTGTCTCAGTGGTTAAGTGCCCCTGGGTTCAATCTCCAGTGCAAAAATTTTAAAAAAAAAGACTCAAACATGAAAAGATAAAACTTTAAAAATATATATTGTTGTGGGCACAGTGGCACACATCAGTAATCCAGGGACTCAGGAGGCTGCAGCAGGAGGATAACAAGCTCAAGCCAGCCTCAGCAACTTAGTGAGACTCTATCTCAAAATAAAGAATAAAAACTGTCTGAGGCCAGGCACAGCGGCACAGACTCGTAATAGCAGTGACTCAGAAAGCTGAGACAGGAGGATCAACAGTTCAAAAGTTCAAGGCCAGTCTCAGCAATTTATGGAATCCCTGTTTCAAAATAAAGAATAAAAACAGGCAAGGGATGGAGCTCATGGTATAAAGCCTCTGGGTCCAATCCCTGGTATTAAAAAAATAAAAATAAAAGACTGTTATTAGAGGTAAAAGCAAATGGAAATGCATATTTGGAGCTTAAACAATTGGTTAGCTTATAGAAAAATGAACACTGGATCTCTATATCTCACACCATACATAAAATCAATCACATCTATGAAGACTTAAAAGTGAAAGTCAAACCTGTAGTCCTCAGGAAACTGAGTCAAGAGGACCACAAGTTCAAAGTCAGACTGGACAACATGTGGAGATCTTGTCTCAAAATAAAATTAAAAGGGCTTGCTGCTAAGTGGTACATGCCTGTAATCCCAGTGGCTCCAGAGGCTGAGACAGGAGGATCTCAGTTCAAATCCAGCCTCAGCAACAACAAAGGCACTAAACAACTCAGTGAGAGCCTGTCTCTAAATAAAATACAAAACAGGGCTGGGAATGTGGCTCAGTGGCTGAGTGCCCCTGGGGTTCAATCCCGGGTACCTAAAAAAAAAAAAAAAGCCAGGGGAGGGGGGGCTTGCTGACACACAACACAACAAGGTGGGGAAGGGAAATAGACAAAAGGAAATGAAGAGAAGAGAGGAAGGATAGGAATAGGAAAAACTGTAGAAGAAATCAGAAATAACTTTCCAATGTATGTATGTGAATACACTTTAGTGAATCTCCACATCATGTACAACCACAAGACTAGGATCCTAATCAGAATAAGTTATACTCCATGTATGTATAATATGTCAAAATTCATTCTACTGCCACATGTGTATCTAAAAAGAACAAATAAAAAATAAATTAAAAAAAATTAAAAGGGCTGGGAATGTGCAATACAAGAAGCAAAGTGCTCCTGGGCTCAATCCTCAGTATGGGAGGGAGGGGGAAAAAGAGGTACAAATCTTTAAAATGTTTAAATGTTTAAAGGCTCATACCAAATCTATAGCTGGGAGTGGCAAAAGAAAGAGGCAAGACAAGAATACTTAACAAAAGTAAGCATTAGAAGAATAGTTTCATGGAAACCAGGAAGGAAAGAAAAACTCAATAAAAAAAGTTTCTAGAAAGTAGACAGCTAATAAATTTTCTAAAAGTGCTGCTACATTGGTCAAATCCTAGGACTTGAAATTAAGTGCTACAAAATAGAGCATTCTATATATAAATATGACACGGGGTTAAAGCTCTCTAAACCTATACAGAAATGGTTTCTCTAAGGGGCTCTTCTTTCCAAAAGCTGATATGGCAAAAAAAAGCCTTGGGATCCCAACCATGGCAAGAGAGGTCCCCATATCTCTTAGAAAGCCAAGCAGGAATCTCAGGGACTCAAGGAAAGTTCACTGTGTCAGTTACAAAGAATTTCCCACATAGTCCTGCACAACATACTGGGGCTCCAGAGTTCACAAAGGGGTGTGAGGCCAAGGCCCATTTAATGATGAAATCCTACTTTGCCTGGTCCATTCCTTGGTGACCTAGCAGTGGACTAGCTATGCCAGCACAGGGTTCAGGATTCCAGGAACCCATTCTAACACTTCAGTAGTTTAAGAGAGCACATGCACAACCAACTGGACTTGGGACAGAGTTCTACCTAGAAAGAACAAAGCCCATGCATCTTGATCACTCCCTCTCAATGGTGGAGTGTTGGTACTAATGTTCATTTCTTTCTAGAGCCAGTCTCATTTCATAAACAGGTAAACCTCTCACAAACCCATTTAAGTTCTGGAATTGATGGATGGCAAGCACCATGTTCCCTATCTTCAAGTTCTCTGCTCTATAGCCTGTCCTCATCTAAGGCTGAATTACCAGCATATTATGAAACATTAATAATGGTCATCATGAATTTGGGACACCTAGAGTACAAATTCAACCTCAGAAGTGAGGTGAGCTTATAAAGGAAGAGAGATTAATAAGGTAGGTCCTTATTAGAATAAGGATGGGTCATCTTCTTAAATTGAAGTAGAGAAAAATCTGAATAAAATTATCAAAACTCTAAGAATTACAAAGGATTATTTTTTAAATATTATTTCAAAATGTCTAAAGCACTAATTTCATGAATCCTTTTCCTTGAAGAGAAAAAGTAAATTATTATCAGTAAAAAGCCTTTAAACATTTGGCCAGTGAAGCCAGGTATAGTGGCTCATACCTGTATAACCCCAACTACTCAGGAAGGTGAGGCAGGAGGATCACAATTCAAGGCCAGCGAAGGCAACTAAGTAAGACCCTGTTTATATTTTTCTTTGTTGTTGTTGTTTTAGGAGGAGTTAATGGTGCTGGAGATTGAATACAAGAGCACTACGCCCTTTCTATTTTTATTTTGAGACAAGGTCTCAATAAGTTGCTTAGGGCCTCACCAAATTGTTGAGGCTGGCCTCAAACTTGCTATCCTCCTGCTTCAGCTCCCAACTCACTGTGATTACAGGCATGGGACACCGTACGCGGCTTAACAAGACCCTGTCTAAAATGAAAAATAGGGCTGAGCATGTAGCTCCATGGTAGAGTGCTCCTGGGTTCAATCCTTAGTACAAAAAAAAAAAAGTCACTGAAGAAAACTAGAAAAGCTTTGGGAGAAAAAATACAAAACTCAGCAAAAAAAAAAAATTGAAACAGCATTAAAAAAAAAAAATTTTAGGCTCAATGTAAAAGAAGAAATGGAAAAAGAAAGTGGGCACCATTTAAAAGGTATTAGCCATTTCCCAGGAAGAAATGGCACTGAAACAACTTAATAAGGAGCTTGAACTTTTAATCTACCTGAACCTGCATGAATAGAATAAGAAGCAAAGTCAAAGTCAGGTCCTGGTGCTGAGGGAAAATTGGTGATAAAAAATGAAACATCTCTCCTTCTGCCGGAAAAATCACAATCACAGAGGACATACTAATCCTCACTGGGCACCTGAAGGCGTAGAATTAGAAACACTCTTAATAGTAACACTAATTCAGAAATCTTTTAAAAAGCATTAGTCAATGGGACAAATATGAAAATAAAGTGGAGCCCCATCACCAAAAAAGTGTGAAAACAGGACTCAGAATTTCTAAAACAAGCAATTATAGCAGTTAAAGTCCAAAGGTCAACACAAAGCTCAAAAATCTATGGGATCCTGATGAGGGAAAGAAAAAGAGCAGGGAAATGGAAATAGAGGAATGTTGGACTATTAATCTGTGGAAAGTTGTCTGCTATAAAAATAAGCTAGCAGATCCACTGGAGAGCAAAGCCCCAACTAGTGCAGTACTGGGGTACTCAGTGCAGGGCTGACACATTTCAAAGTCTGAAAAACCATTAAGATGGAAATGGATAAGGGAAAATAGCAGGATTCAGGAAGAGTACTAAGAGCCACTACTGCCCTCCACATAAAGAACTGGGCTATTTTGAATTGTCACCCTCAGAAAGAAAATGCAATTTGTAGTATGATGTTGGAATTCACTTCCTCAAATTAGAGATATAAGGGCATCATAACTTCTCAGGGGCATTTAACTACTGAACCACATCGATAGCCCTTTTTTATTTTTATTTATTTTTGAGATAGGGACTCATTAAGTTGCTTAGGCCTCACTAAATTACTGAGACTGGCTTTGAATTTACAATCCTCCTACCTCAGCCTCCCAAATTGCTGGGATTACAGGCATACACCACCTGCCTGGACACTTTCTAATTTGAGACAGGGTCTCACTAAGCTGCCAAGGCTGCCCTCAAACTTATGATCCTCTTGGCTCAGCCTCCTGAGTAGCTGGGGCAGGCTTGCGCCACTGCACCCAGCTTTATTTTTTTGAGACAGGGTCTCATTAAATTGCTCATGCCAGCCTCTAACTCACAATCCTTCTGCCTCAGTCTCCCAAGTAGCTGAAATTACAGGTGAGGAAGGACTGAAGAGCCTGACAGCCATCCGGGGCCAAGCGGCAAGAGCGAGAAGTAGTTTGCTACCTTGATAACAGATTATACTTGATTTTTAAATTTTGTGGATGTGGAACTCATTCTAAATACTCTTAAGTGTCCTGGTTATCCTCTAGAATCTGGAATATATAACACAGAAAGAGTTGTGATTGGGATAACCTAACTACATTATTAGTCAATGTGGAAGATTGCCATTGTAGACAATAAAGGAGGAAACTAGATCCTAATCAGACACCTGAATGTCCTTTTCAGATGTGAATAAATAGAAGAATTGGAGGTATACATAACTGAGAACTCAACTTCTCTGGCTAGAATTAATGAGGAGGTGGTTTATGGTTAAATTGTATAGGGCAGCAACAAATTGGGGTGTTTAGTTACTAAGAGAATTTTGGGGGCTATGCTAAAAACACATTTATCTGCTGCAAAATACAAATATCACATCTAGAGAGTTTAATGAGACACTAATGAGAATAATTCCAACTGAAAACACAGAATGGCTTATAATGCAGCCTTGTAATATGGTTAATTAGCATCCTGCCCTGCTCTCTTGCAGAGATTTCTGAGGAGACCAAAGAGACATCTGCCCATCTAAGTAGAACCATAGTAGTTATGCAGAATGGTGAGATCAACTGGTGAAACAAGCCCCATGAAGATATAAGGAGGCTTCTTCTGATTTCTCCCACACTCATGAGAAACAGAAAACAAAACATAAACAAAAAAAAAAAAAGAGAGAGAGAGAGAGAACTGAGCTTGTAGCTCAGGGGTGGAACACTTGCCTAGCATGAATGAGGCACTGGGTTCAATTCTCAGCACTACATATAAATAAATAAAATAAACGTCCATCGACAACTAAGAACTATTTAAAAAACTGTTACCCTGACCTTCTCCCTATCACATTAATCAAAGAGAAATGCCAAAGGTGAAACTCAAGAACAATTTCTCATCCGGGGCTTGATCATTCTCTTGGGATGCCTTCTCCAGGGAGTGTCCCTTCCCCCTCGCCCTCCCCACCCCCAGGCTTCTTGGTGGAAGTAACCTGCTGCTGCGTTTATTGCTTTAGCCTTCTATGCACCCTTTTAGTAAGCCTTTTACACCACCACTTTAAGGTGAAGGGAGAGGAAGGATCTGGACTCTGAAAAGGGGGTGGCAACATATTTACTTTTTTTTTTTTAACGGAAATACACCACTGGAGTGAGTTGTACGGAAAGAAATAACGCAAATCCCTTCTTGGAGCTTCTTTCATGGACACAGCTTTGGTCAAGGAAACAGGAATGGGAATTCACATGTATCAGTCTCCTGGGCGGCACGCACAGATAACCCTGTGAAGCCGGTTCCATCATTCTCCTCACCGGGGAGAAACCGAGGTTCACATGAGCCAAGAATCTCATCGGGTACTAGGCCGGTAATGTGGGTCTCCAGAAAACTCCTCCCGTCTCCCGGGAGCCGGGAGCGAACCGGGTAGGGCCGGCCACACCCCGCGCCCCGCACAGCCGAGACCCTGGCCCTCAGCTACAGCTGCGGAAGACAGACGAGAGAACTGACCTGAGGAGCGGAGGGCCGGGCGGGGTCGGGCCGGACGGAAGGACTGAAGAGCCCGCCAGCCGTCCGAGGCCAAGCGGCGAGAGCCAGAAGACCTTAGGAATCGTTTCGTTCGCCAGGCTCTGGTCGCTTCCGCCCGCCAAAGGAATCAAACCTCCCGGGCCGGAAGGGGCGGGGCGTGCGCGCCGCCGAGTCCCAGAGGGGCGGGGCGCACAGCTCTCGGGAGCGCGCCGGACGCGGGATTCCGGTGGGGCGGGGGCCTCGCGGACGTGTCGGGGCGTCAATTGCTTGGCCCCGCCCCAACGTGGACGGCTGAGGAGTGACTCAAGCTCTTCTTCTTTGGACTGGAGTGTGCACCCTCCGGAGGGTGAAGATTTCCCAGATTGGCATTGACGTGCAGAGTTACCACGTACTTAACTTTCTTTAAGTTCTTCCCTAGAATTGATCTGCCAGAGAAATCCTTAGTGGTCACAGTTCTCATTTTCGTCCTCCCGCTGCCTAAAAGCGGTTTTCCCACCCAAAAAGACAGGTATACCACCCTCCTCTCCTGAATCTTACTAAATCTGTTGTCACAAGGAATAAAATCCCCAGGAACCAAATTAATCGTCCATTAGCTAACGTATGCCACCATAAACACCAACCCAGCATCACAATAGTAGTTTTCTGATATATTTACTGTTTGGTCATTATTTATGTAATTTTTCCCCCAGTACTGGGGATTGAGCCCAGGGCCTCGGTATGTTAGCCAAGGTCTCTACTACTGAATTAGATTCCCAGCCCAAATCACCCCCACAGCCTTTTTTTTTTAACAAGGTCTGGTTAAATTACCATTTTGAACTTGGGATCATCCTGCCTTAGCCTCCCCAGTAGCTGGAATTACAGGTGTTAGCCAGCACACCCCATTATTTATATAATTTTTGATGGACTGGACAAATTATAACTGTAGTGATACCTCTGACCAAAGAAAAAATTTAAGAATTATAGCCACAGGAAAGAAAAAATATATTAAATTTAAATTTATATATTTTTATTACAATAAAATATAATAGGGTGCTGAATAAAGGATTGTAAGGCAAAAAAAAAAAAATGTTGCATGAAGATAACATTCTGTCCTGGATTTCATACCCAGGCTGCAAAAATAATAATAATAGCATTTTGGGACCAGGAGATGTAGCTCCATGGTAGAGCACTTGCCTACTACCCACTGGATGCCCTGGGCCCTGAGTCCAATTCCTGGCACCACAAAAGAAAGAATAAGATAAAGTTGCATATGATTACAATGGGGCTAGTGAAGCCTAAATACCATACTGAGGTTCTTTATAGATATAGATATAGATAAGATTCTGGGAGATAGAAATATGAACTAGGAGAAAAAAGGCGAAATAAGTGAATGTTAAAGAGGTAGTATATGTAGCAAGTAACAGCCTGACTTAAAAAAAAAAAAAAAAAGTATATAGACTGGGGATGTAGCTCAGCGATAGAACCCTTGGGTGAGTCGCTAGCTTCAGTCTGCAGCACTGCAAAATAAGAGGCTGTGTATTGTACAGTGATCTTTTTTCAATAGATGACAGTAGGTATCAAATCATTCAAATATTTCCAACTTCTTACATACCTTTAAATGAGTGATGTTACACACCTACATTTGAAAATATTTACAATATACTGTATATGGTGGCACATGCCTATAATCCCATTGACTCAGGAGGCTGAGGCAGGAAGATTGCAAATTCAAACCCAGCCTCAGAAATTCAGCAAGGCCCTCAGCAACTTAGCAAGACCCTGTCTCAATTTTTAAAAATTAAAATTAAAAGGATGGGGGATGTAGCTCAGTGGTAAAGTGCTCCTGAGTTCAATTTCCAGTACAAAAAAAAAAAAAAAAGCTTTTTTGAAAATGTTTATAATAATCCCATTTTTTAAAAAAATTGCAATAAATTACATCCTTTGCAACTATTCAAAATTATGATGAAAAAATTTTACACATCTACTTAAAATTTTTCAAGATTGTTTTGAGTGTATATATCCAAAACAGTTTGAATATCACTAAGTTAAAGACAATTATAAGCAAGAGAAAACAACCCAGTGCCAGGAGTTAGGAGCTCTGAGCTTTGAGACCTGAAAGAAGAGCCCTACCCTCTAGGGGCTATCCTCATATGAACAATAAAGAGGTTAGGTGGATTCTTGGCCTTGGCAGGTCAGCCTCCAGTACAACAAGCAACACATCTGTGGAGGAAGCATCCAGGATCCCCAGTGGATCCTCACGGCAGCCCACTGCTTCAGGTACAATCAGGCCCATCTGCCTGCCCTTCTTTGATAAGGAGCTTGCTCCAGCCACCCAATTCTGGGTTGTCGGCTGGGGCTTTACGGAGCAGAATGGTGGGAAGATGTCTGACACACTGCTGCAGGCGTCAGTCCAGGTCATTGACCACACCCGGTGCAATGCAGAGGATGCCTACCAGGGAGAAGTCACTGAGAAGATGCTGTGTGCAGGCGTCCCAGGAGGTGGTGTGGACACCTGCCAGGGTGATAGTGGTGGATCCCTGATGTACCAGTCTGACCACTGGAAGGTGGTGGGCATTGTGAGCTGGGGACATGGCTGTGGGGGCCCAAGTACCCCAGGAGTGTACACCAAGGTCACAGCCTGTCTCAACTGGATCTACAGTGTGTGGAAGTCTGAGATGTAAGGCTGCTGTCCCTCTGCAGCGTTCAGAGCTGCTTCTCTCCAGTCCTGCCCACTGGGGATCCCCCAGAAGTCCCATATTGGGGCTCGTCTCTCCACCCATGGCCTTGGCATTTGCTAGAGCAGCAAACGGCCTCCGTTCCTGCAAGACCCTCACACCCCGGAGGCACCCAGAAGGAAGGCAGCTGCCCTAGCTCAGTCATCCCCAGTGCTTCCAGAATCCCAGGGAGAGATGCAGCCCGCTGAACGGAGCCAGCTATGGACAGAGATCTCAGAGGCACTGCTCACTAAGGAGGAACTTTCCACCTCTACTGAATGGAAGAGGGTTCTTTCATGAGAACCCAGATGACCAGGCTGGAGAGGAGAAGAAGAGGGTCTGGCCAGCCCTCTTTCTCCACCCATTCCCAAGCCCACCGGAACAAGAAACCAGGTGTAATGTAAATGCACATCCTACCTTTGGCGTGACTACTGTTACCTACAGGTGTTATTATTGTTACTTCTAAGTGTTGTTGTCATTAAAGAATGATATCTTTGGTAAAAATAAATAAATAAATAAATAGATTAGATTACAGTTCCACTGCTCCCTGTTTTGAGAGTCATGAACTGGATGGATCAGGCCATTAGAAATGTAACATCTCTATCAATAATAACACCATTAGCAGCAATAATAAAATCCAGTACATTTTTTTTGAACAATTAATGTGTACTTACATACATAATCTCTATATCCGAATGTCTGCCCCCTCACACAGGGTAATTGGTGCTATTTATTCTTTCTTCAGTCACCAGTGTCTACCCTAAACCGGGTCCTGTTCAAGGTAATGCCAGAAAAAAGAGATGTTTCTTCTGCTTGAAGGAGTTCAAAGACAGGAGCTAATAGATAACCAATGCTAATAAAGGATCAAATAGTAGTGCTATATACAAGTGCATGCAGCCATGAGGTTTAGAACTCAAAAGGGGGAGCATTTAATTCTGCCCAAGGGATTGAAATATTTTGTACTGGCTCTGGGCCTTGAAAAAAAAAAAAAAGGAAAGAAAGAAAAAAAAATACATCGACAAGGGAAGAAGAACATTCAGAAGTCTCGGTGTAGAAAAGCAAGTTATCCGGGCACAGTGGCACACCCTGTAATTCCAGCCACTCAGGAGGATCACGAGTTCAAAGCCAGCCTCAGCAAAAGCAAAACTCTAAGCAACGCAGTAAGAGAAAGAGCTGGGGATATGGCTCAGTGGTCTAGTGGCCCTGAGTTCAATTCCTGGGAAAAGAAAGACAAAAGAAAGAGAGAAAGAGAGAAAGAGAGGAAGAGGAAGAGAGGAAGAAAGGAAGAAAGAGGGCTGAGGTTGTGAAAGAGAGAGAGAGGAAGAGAGGAAGAAAGGAAGAAAGAGGGCTGAGGTTGTGGCTCAGCGGTAGAGCACTCACCTAGCATGTGCGCGGCCCGGGTTCGATCCTCAGCACCACATAAAAATAAATAAATAAAACAAAGATATTGTGTTCAACTACAACTAAAAAATAAATATTAAAAAAAAGAAAGAAAGGAGGGAGGAGAGGGAGAGAGAGGGAGAGGGAGAGGGAGAGGGAGGGAGGGAGAGGGAGGGAGGGAGAGAGAGGGAGGGAAGGAGGAAGGAAGGAAAAGCAAGTTAGGTGGAGCAAAATAAAAGCCTACAGGGAGGGGTGTGGCATAAAAGGTAGAGCTGGTAAGTAACAGAGGAGCACAACATAGAGAGTGTCCAAGAAAGGAATGGCTTTGTGCACAGGCTATGGTTATGAGAGCAGCTGACTAAGAAAGGGAGATGAAGGATTTTGCATCTTATTCTTTTTTTTTTTTTTTTTTTGGGGGGGGGGGGCGTGTTCGTAGGATTGAATTGAACACAGGAGCACTTAACCACTGAGCCACATCCCCAGCCCTTTTTTGTATTTTAGAGACAGGAATTCTCTGAGTTGCTTAGGGCCTCGTTAAATTGCCAAGGCTGGCTTTGAACTGGTGGTCCTCCTGCCTCAGCATCGGGCGCCACTGGGATTACAGGCATGCACCACCATGCCTGGCTTGGATTCACATTTCAGTGAAAACCATTCCACCAGCATCCTAGGAGTATGCTAGGCCTGCTGAGACAAAGTGAGATCTGTGTGTTTCTGCTGACAGAATGAATGTCATGAATCTCAGTGCCATGAGTAACTGTGTCATCAGTGGAACAAGAAACAAAGGTTGCAGTCCTGTGTCTGAATACCTCATTTATAGCTTTGCTATGTGTTTTCTGAGGTCATCCAGGTAAGCCAACCTCAGTCTACAATGACCTGATTTGTATACATAATCCAATAGTGAGCAGGAAAGACACACAAAACTAAGTTTGGGATCATAGTCCTGGTAGAAAAAGAGATGGCTTTAAAAAAAAATAATAAAGAGGAAAGGAAAGGAAAAGAAAAAGATAAGCTATCAAAAATACCTCAGAGGGCTGGGGATGTGGCTCAAGTGGTAGCGTGCTTGCCTAGCATGCGTGAGGCACTAGGTTCGATTCTCAGCAACACATAAAAATGAAATAAAGATATTGTATCCACCTTAAAAAAACTTAAAAATAAATATTTTTAAAAAATTTAAAAAGGGAGGGAAAGGGAGAGAGAAGGGAAATTGCATGGAAATGGAAGGAGACCCTCATGGTTATACAAAATTACATACAAGAGGAAGTGAGGGGAAAGGGGGAAAAAAAACAAGGGGGAGAAATGAATTACAGTAGATGGGGTAGAGAGAGAAGATGGGAGGGGAGGGGAGGGGAGGGGAGGGGGGATAGTAGAGGATAGGAAAGGCAGCAGAATACAACAGACACTAGTATGGCAATATGTAAATCAGTGGATGTGTAACCGATGTGATTCTGCAATCTGTATATGGGGTAAAAATGGGAGTTCATAACCCACTTGAATCAAAGTGTGAAATATGATATGTCAAGAACTATGTAATGTTTTGAACAACCAACAATAAAAATGTAAAAATAAATAAATAAAACTTCAGAGCCTGATGTGGCAGCAGCCCATGCTGTAATCCCAGTGTCTCAGGAGGCTGAGGCAGAAGGAGCACAAATTTCATGACTGTCTTGGCAATTTAGCAAGACCCTGTCTAAAAAATTTTTAAAAGGGGCCAGGCCATGGTGCACATCTGTAATCCCAGCAACTCAGAAGGCTGAAGCAGGAGGATTAAAAATTTCAGGCTGGCCTCAGCAATTTATCAAGGCCCAAGTAATTTAGCAAGACTGTGCCTCAATATTTTTTAAATAAATTAAAAATAAAAAGGGCTAAGTATGGAGCTTAGTGGTAAAGTGTTCCTAGGTTCCTTAGTGTTCTTTAGTGTTCCTAAAGTGTTCCTTAGTGGTAAAGTGTTCCCTCTAGGTACCAAAGGGGGAAAAAAAATTCTTAAGGGAGCTGGGGATATAACTCAGTGGCAAATGACCCCTGGGTTCAACCCCCAGTACCAAATAAATAAATAATTTTAATTTTTTCTGGATTACATTTTTTTAATTTTTTAAATTTCTGTTTACTACACACCAGAGTATCTTAATAGCACTTATAAATAAACAATGATTTATTCTGTGAGTTATCATTCTTTGCTAGACACTATATTAGGGTTTATACAAATATTATTTCTAGTCCTATAAACTAGGTATTCCTATTCTCATTTACAGATGAAGAAACTAAGGCTCAAGGAGTTTCAGTATCTTGTGAGAAATAGATCCAGGGATCCAAAGCCCAGGGTTTTTCTATCATAGTTCTCAGTTAATGTTTGCTGAACTGAATATGGGAGAAGTTTGAAGAATTAAAATTTTAGGTACCATACAAATATAAGAGACTTTATATATTAATGAGAATAATGATGAATACCAATCTAAAGGTCACCTTCATTAATAGGCATAGGCTGGGGCTGGGGTTATGGCTGAGTGGGAAAGTGCTTGCCTAGCATGTGGAAAGTGCTAGAACCCAGCATGCAAAGATAAATAATAAAAAAGCAAAGGCAAAATAATCTAAAGTAGAATATTATGCAACCAATATTTCAAAAAATTATATAATTACACTGCCATTGGGGTTGCCAAATAAAATGCCAACACTTTAGAGACATGGTTAAACTAAAAAATTGTTCATTATTTATCCAAAATTTGAGTTTAACTGGTCATCCTATATTTTTATTTACTATATCTAACAACCCTAAATACCACAGAAGCATATCTGGGTTTTTTAAACTATTTTTAATTGTAGACGGGCACAATATCTTTATTTTATTTAGTTTTTCATATGGTGCTAAGGATTGAACCCAGTGCCTCACACATGCTAGGCAAGCACTCTACCACTGAGCCACAACCCCAGCCCCCAGCATATCTGTTTTTTAAGTCAACAAAATAAGCTACCAAGATAATAAATAGCATAGCCCCATTTTTGTTAAGAAAATGTATAAGAAGGAAGTATGGTAGTGAACTCCTATAATCCAAGCTACTCAGAAGGCTGAGGTAGGAGGATAACAAGTGCAAAACCAGCCTAAGCAACTCAGTGAGACACTGTCTCAAAATAAAATAAAAAAGTGTAAGGATGTAGGTGAGAAGGAGAACACTTACCTATAGCATGCATTAGGCCCTGGGTTTGATCTCTAACACAAAAGAAGGAGGAGGAGGAGGAGGAGGAGGAGGAGGAGGAGGAGGAGGAGGAGGGGGGGGGGGGGGGGGGAGGAGGGAGGAGGGGGGGAGGAGGAGAAGAAGAAATAATACACATTCAATAGTATGAAATAATCAGAGATTCCTTGATGCTCGGTTCAATTTCCCCCATTGGTAACATTTTGCAAAATTATGATACAATATTACAATCAGAATATTGGGCTGGGAATATAGCTGAGTTGGTAGAGTGCTTGCCTCATATGTACAGGCTCTAGATTCAATCCTCAGCATCATAAAAAATGAGGAAAAAAAGTCAGAGATTATTGACATTCATTAAATAATCCAAAATTTTATTCAGATTTTCCCAAGGTACTTATTTAT